AAAGCGGTAGAAGTAGAACAAAAGCTTTCCTGCATTACTCCGTGGTGAAAGGGAAAAAAACTAACGGCGCATTTGCATAAATACCGCACAATTCCTATGTATTTACATATTTAACTCTTAAACTTTAGTTTTTAACTTCATAACACCAAAATCTTTTATATATCACATAAAAAATATCATTGATTAACTTTTAAAAAGTAAACTATCCTTTTTCATGCATAGGTAAGGTGACATATGTAAAAGTTGAAGTTTAGGTGTTAGATATATAGATATATAAGAATTAAGTGGTATGATGTAAATCTTCCAAGATGTAAAGAAATTAAGTAAAATGCTGCCCTTTTATTGAGAAGTAACATAAAATACAACTAAAAATAACCACGGTGTTTAAAATTTTAGAACCTAACTACAACACTAGTTTAACAATAGCTCTATAATACAAAATGCTCAAACAACTAATAGATTCATATTCTGTTCGGGAATACATTTCATTGAACCTAACCAAAACAATGAAGAAATAATTTTTAATATTTTTGTACGCTAAAAAATGGCATGCATGAATCTCGAAATAATTTGAAGTTTCAAATTAAAAGAGATAAATCAAGGAGCATCCCTCTGACAAAAAGCTACGAATACTCATGAAGCTGACCGATTGAAGTTTGCCAGCCGACTGATGGTCAACTGACTGAAGGATTTAAGACCGATTGAAAGGTTGCCGATTGACTGAAGGCTAGTTCGACGATCAAATGATCACCTAGGCCGACCAGGAATAGACATTCACGCTAACGACTGAACAAAAGTCTAATACCCTAAACAATCTCACAAATATCAACGTGAGACTCTAAACAACTCCCCAAATAAATCTACAAAGATTACCAACAAACAGGCCGACCGACCACCCTAAGCCGACTAACCACCACTCTCAAAGACAATAAGCTTCCCAGAGCGAAGACTGACTGACATCCAGACCAAATAGTTGGCCGACGCCAGCTTGGTTGACCAACTCGAGGACCTGCTGGTCAGAAGGTCCAAACACAAAAAAAACGCCAAAATCAATTTTAAATACGAAAATATAAGACAAAAGACAATATTGTCCATTAATGCATTTATTAAAGTAGAGACAAATATGTAATTTTTCACTTTTGGCTTCTATTTTTTATAAATAAGGGATCCATAACATATATTAGGGGCTTTTGTCTCTTTAGGCTTTGGCCTCTTTATGCTTATCTTTCTAGACCCACTCTAAATGGAGATCTCTTTCCAATTCTCTTTTATAACCCCCACGTTACACTATATAAAATAGATCACAGAGCCCAAGAATATCCCAGTTCGCCCCTACGGGGCAAGTCAGTGTGCTCTATTTTTATTTTCTTCCTCTCTATCTCTCTCTACTTCTCTCTGAAGATTTCTATGCTTAGACATTTCTCAAAGTACAAATCTGGACAAAACAATTTTGAAGGACAATGAAAGCACTAAAATCCTCATTTTTGGAAGTTTTCACATAACATCACAAACGATATCATTTTTTCTACGGGCAAACAAAAAACAAACAAATGAAAATGAAGATGAAGATTTCAGTGGAAATTACTAGTGTAGAAATCAAAGGAAACAGATGTCTTATCCTGATGTCTCGTTAATCGGTCGTTAACAGGGGTGGCCGTCCCAAAAGCAAACAGAAGCTTCTGCTGTGTAATCCTACTTAGAAATTTCAACTGGAAGGCCATGTAGATGTTTGGTCCATTCTGAACAATGACAGGCGCATTACCTGCAGCTGGCAACTGTCCTTGATCAGCTAAAACTTGAGAGCTGGACCTACCACGCAGATAGAATTGCTTAATATGGGGTCGCCCGGTGTTTCCAATCCAGCCGACCATGGCGCTCGAGCCCACCATCATCCCATCCTTTGAGAATCCCATTCCAAGCCAACCAGAGGTGTAAAGCATAGAAAGCACGATCGTCAAAACATTATCTTCGTTTAGGGAATACTACAGTAGAGAAAAGAGAGTAAGTCATAAAATTAGCAGGAAGAGAATGCACATTTAAAAGGAGGAAAAAAACAAAAAAACTTAAAATATGAAAATAAAGTGAAAAATCTCAAGAAGCTGCCAAAAAAGAACTTTTTTTTTAGACATTAATGTTTTGGTCCATGAACGTTATGAAGATAAGAAATTCCGTATTATAGAGCAGATTGATTTTTTCAATGTTTGGTAATCGTCAACATTATTAATGCATAAAATGAAAAGCTAATGCATAAGCATACAAAATTAAAACAGGAAGTGCTATGCTTCCAACCCATAGTTAAGAAAAAAAAAAGTAGTTTTGATTTGGTGGCACTAAGAGAGAGAGAGAGAGAGAGATACACCAATAAAAACAGCAACAACAATAAGGCTTTATCACGCTAAGTGGGGTCAGCTATATGAATCTTTTTTCTCCATTGCATTTTAGAGTGTTATATTTTCATTTATTAAAATAGATTAAGATCTTTTTTTTATATAATATGTCCAAATTTTTTTAGGTATATCTCTGTCAAATCATGATTTATTTTACAATTTTATGCTGGTTGTCGACTAACTAACGCAACTCTCTACTTTTTATATCTAGGGCATGCGACATGGCAAACTGTAGATTTTTGATTGGATCTGATACACTGGTGCTGGTATGGTTGCACCGCAAAATGGGTTGGAGACCATTAATCTTTAGAAAATTCTATTAAAAAGCCATGCTATGGAGTCAAACCAACAGCCTCCCAAAATAACCTTGACGAGTTACATGACCTTTTCCTTTTATCAACCGGAAAAAAAAATCCCTTCCATCTTTATGTTTGATTTTTAGATCAAGCTTTGTGTTAACCTAGAATCCATGATTCAACATTTCCGCAGAAAATTCATCATCAAATGCATTATTTATGTCAAGAACAATCCTTTATCAACCCGAACGAACAGGCAATTTTATATATGCGATCCACACCTAATATTATCTACCTTACGGTACTGCAGCTGGCAAAAAATTTTTTTGCTTTCGCTATTATGAAAGAAACATAGGATCTGCATCTTCTATCAAAACAGAAGAATCTCACACCTTGGAGACTAACCCAACTAAACATTCAATTAATCAGCCCAAAAGGTTAGTATACCAACGAAATTCAACTTTGGTCTTATCCAATATAACAATCCTCAATTTAATCAAGTCAGTGTTTGGCAGCATATAATTAATAGGATTTACGTGTAATTTTAAACATAAATCTATCCAAATCTTAAAAGAAGGCGAACCACATTTCCTATATCCAATTTCTATGTGGATTCAAACAATTTAGTGCACAAAAGAATTAGATCCAGACACAAGATGCCAAACACGTCAAATGAATTTATTATGAATTCAAAGCATCTGAATCTGATAAATTAGAATTAATCGGATTTCCTAAATCTTATGTAATTTATATCCCAGTTGAAGTCATCAATCAGTCTAAACAATCTATTTCCCACTCCCCAACATCAGAGGATCCACAAAAAACCAAAACCAAATACAAAATTTCAGAACTTACCCGAAGAACCAGATTGTTCCAGATCGGAAGGCAAACTAGAGTAATGTTGCCGTAACCTACAGGAAGAACGACGTTGGGTTCCACTCCGCAACGGTCAGCCTGCCCGCCAACGAGCGAGATGCTACCCAGAAGCATAACTAGAATAGAGAACGAAGCATTCGCCATCGATTCTATATTCGCCTATCTATCAATTGGCGAGCTAGAGGCGTCGGGAACGCGAAGGGAGTGTTTAGGGTTCTGCAATGTAAAGGGGAAGAGAAAAGGGATAGCGAGAGGAGAAGAAAATGGGCCGACGGTTGCGAGGTTCCATCACTTGCAGTTGAAGCCAGTAGTAGGAGACGTAGAGTAGATCCCACCACCATTATCGCGTCTCTTCAACTCAGATCTAAACTGGAAAATGAGTAAAAAAAAAAAAAAAATGGACGCCAACAAAAGTTCATAGTTTGGTAATAGAGCTGGGGTCGCGCAGCGCTGCTCCCTCCTCTGCGCCTAAAATTTGGATTTTTATTTGAATTTATTCGCAATTTGTTTGGATGCATCTTTTCGCAATTTGTTTGGATGCATCTTTTCGCAATTTGTTTGGATGCATCTTTTCGCAATTTGTTTGGATGCATCTTTTCGCAATTTGTTTGGATGCATCTTTTCGCAATTTGTTTGGATGCATCTTTTCTAAAATTTGCTCTATCGTAAAGCTTGATTATTTATCATTTCAGAATTTACAGATTAGTATTTTTTTTTAGTATTATTCGAGTTATGTTAAACTCCCTAAAAGTTACTCATAAAATCTTTAACATAAATATGGAAGAAAACTTTATTTTGTTGGAACTTTTGAGTATACTACATTCCAATTGCATGAGGTTTAAAAATTCAAACGTTTGGTTGAAAAAGTAAATCCAAAGCACATCCAAATGTGGAAGGATATGTATTGCATATCTTAAATTCATGTTTAATTCTAGTTCAAGTTTAGATTCATTTGTGGTTCATCCTAGCTCTAATGTGCCTTTGAGTTGAAATTTTAGATATTTGAGGTTTATCCTTGCTTTGAGTTGAGGTTCATTCTTGCTTTGAGTTGAGGTTCATCCTCGTTTTGATTTGAGGTTCATTCTTACCTCGTTGACAAGTTGGTCTAACTTCGGGCCACTTATAGACTATAGCCAACTAAGGATTGGCCGACTCACCTACCTTTATTTACAGGCTTAATTGCAAGTAAGTAAATTATATGTTTATCAAGATTAGCATAAAGTAGAACACCATAAGCACAAGAATCATAAAATACTAAATAGACCTAACACAACTGTACTAGGCCCCCTATATTACAAGGCTGTTCTTAGGGGGCATGGCTTTAGCACATGCAAAAAGGAATAATTTTTTTATTTTATATTTTTTGATGGTTTCCCTATGAAGCACAATGTCACGGACTAACTTTCCTCGAGTTATCCGTGCGGCTTTAGCGCTATTTCTTAGCACTAAATCAACCTAACCTTTCCAACTAGCCGTAAAAAGGAATAATTTTTTTATTTTATATTTTTTGATGGTTTCCCTATGAAGCACAATGTCACGGACTAACTTTCCTCGAGTTATCCGTGCGGCTTTAGCGCTATTTCTTAGCACTAAATCAGCCTAACCTTCCCAACTAACCACTCAAAAGCACTGTCTTGAAAGTAGAATAGGAAGAAGAGTTAGAGAAGATAAAGCTTCACTAATAAAGAGAGATTACAAAGCTTAAAAGCTTGAAACCTTGGATGTCTTAGCATGAGGGAGGGGACACTTATTAATAGCTTTCTCGATGGCTTTGGCCTTACATATTGCCAATGTGGGACTATTCTCTAAAGAGAGCTTTACAATATAATATTCTAGCTTCTAGATAATTCTACATTATTTTAATGTACATACATATTCTAGATTCTTCTAGGTTGTTCTTTAGGCCTCCATCTTCTAGAATACTCCTTCATGTCGTAATATTGGTGGGGCGTGACAACAAGCTCTTATAAGAAAATAAGTATCAGAATAACCAAAATAGTTGCCGTAACATCCAATCTAGCACATAAGCTACCATAAAATCCAGTCTAACATGCAATCCAAAACATCACAAACACATAAATAATCACAATCAATCATGATCACTGTTATACTTGACCTAACCTATATCTAGGGTTAGCACCCTAGCAAAATCATCTAAAATGTGCGAGACTTATGTGGTGGCCAATAAGCTAAACTTTATATTTCAAGTTGTTTAATCTTGATATTCAAATTTTATCAAAAGGTTATTTCAATTTAAGTGTTTATTGTGCTAAAGTGCTTGATTAATTTCTGATATTTTTTTAGTAATTTTTGGTTGGGTTTACTAAAATATTTCTTAAATACCTATATTTGCTTAGTAAAAAACAACAACAACAATAAGCTTTTATTCCACTAAGTGGGGTAGGCTATATGAATCCTTTTTCTCCATTAAGTCCTATTGAGTGTCATATTTTTATTAAACTATAATACATTAAGATCATTTTTTATACAATACGCCCAAGTGTTTCTAGGTCTACCCCTGCCTTTTTTAATAGAAATCAAATCTAAAACATCTACTCTCCTAACCAGATCATTAGATGGTTGACATTTGATGTGACCAAACCAATTAAGATGACTCCCTCAAATTTTATTCGCCGCTGGTGCTACACTAACCATATCATGGATATATTCATGTCACATTTTATCTCTAAATGTAAAGTCACTCATCCATCTAGACATTCTCATCTCAACAACACTTAAAAAGCATATAAATTTAAGAAACATTTAAATTTTATAAAATAAAAAAATCACATAAAGAGATAATTTAGGATCTTATAAGATAGAATATAAATTAAAATTTAGATTTTGTATATTTTTATTATTTCTTAGGAATTATTTTTATTAAAATTTGATTTATTTTAAAATTTTCAAACTAAGTAAATATTTTAACCTAAATATATTAAAAATCCTATGAAATTAATTTGAGAAGTTAGAAATGGCCTCAACTAAGTTTAGTTTGATGTTTGGGGTTTATTAAGTTCTTATTAAAATCAGAGCTCCCATTAACCTCCTTCAAGAAGACCCTTAACCCTTGCACTTACTCTTCTTTCACGTAGATGTATGCATATGCAACAACTTGTAGTTCTTGTTTAAAATCAGGGCTCTAGTATAATTTGTGATTTTTATACATATCCATTTTTCATTGGCTTGTGCTACTTATTGTAAACTTAATGTGTTTTTGTATGCTTTACCTGAGTTTGAGACTTACACATTAGCATATTTAGGTGTATTTTTTCTAGCAAGTCATCATATCTAACATGGAGGAGCTTAATAATAATTTAAACTAATGCATTTTTCTGCAGTCACTGCTTAACTCTCCTCTCATCAAATATAATCTTCGATATGTTATGTGAGATAGTTTGTGCTGACTTTTGTTTTGCAAGTTGAAGATTTGAATGTCTTAGATAATTGTATATATGCTACATAAACCGGTGAAAGTACCTTTGCTTTCTAATCTGACTGACCAAATACACGTTTTATAAAATTTGGTGGTTGTATAGTACAATATAGAATGTTAGAGCCTCTTCGAATTTTGACATGATTATAAGTTCTTAATGGGGCAGCTTAGCTTTAAAGTAGAGTTGTTCATTTCTTCTTTCTTCTGTATAGGTTTCCAGTCCATCCCCTTGACAGGTGTAATCTTTATTCTACTTTTTTGGTCTAGATAGAGTCAAAAGAGCTTATATATTTCTTTCATTTGACTTCTAGTCCATCCCCCTGACAGGTGTAATCCTTATTCTACTTTTTTGGTCTAGATAGAGTCAAAAGAGCTTATATATTTCTTTCATTTGACTTTGGGTCTACTGGATCACTTCGAATGATGTAACTCATAATAATTTAGGAGGACAAGTCAATTGAGTCCCGACCGAGCAATCTCAATAGGTCAAAAGAGATTAAATATTTCTTTCATTTGACTTTGGGTCTACTGGATCGCTTCGAACGATGTAACTCATAATAATTTAGGAGGACGAGTCAATTGAGTCCCGACAGGTTTAGGTTTTCTCTTTAACTTGCCTGTTGATACCCCTTTAGGTATAGTCGTTTGATTCATCAAGTCTTTTGTAGATGAGTACCGTAGGCCTTCTTAGCTCAGTGATGGTGGTCTGTCAGGTTACAATAATTTATTCTCTGTTTGGTGGCTTAGTTTAGAATTTTCCCCAACTGGGACCACCAAATATCTCTTTGCCTACCTCTGTTTCAGGACAACTAAAACAAACACAAATATCTTGAGTTTTTCTGGGTATCCCTCAGGATGTAATTGATTGTGAGGATACTTCATCATGGGAGGTCTCTTTGAACCCAAAACAAAATAATTTTGATTTGATTATGAAGTTTTTTTAATGAAGTTTGATTTGTTTTAGAACACTCTTCTCTAGTTTACGTTATGAGTACTTTTCTATACAAATATCTTCTTAGCTAATTTTTTTGTTCTCTTAGTTTCTTTCTATCCATGCTCCTTTTCTTCTTTGCTTCTTCTAAAGCAAGGGTGGGTGACCTAGAAAAGAGGGATTTGAAAAAGAGGATAAACGCTAAGAAGTCCATTCCGTTCATAACAAAAATAGGCTCTAACAGCTCAATTCAACCACTTCGGTAGTTGGGCTCTGTTCGAGATTGACTTGATATTCAGATATGGGCTTTTGAAGCCCATAAGGCCCGTTGAACCCTATGTTATGTCACTAAAATAGTCTTGTTTAAGTATATAACTGTACTTGAGCATAGATGAAACATAACATATCACCTCCTATAATCTTATCATACAACATTGATTAGTTAATTTTTATAAAAATTTACATTTAATAGATTAAAATATATTCTGATGGATTAATCATTTTTATCGATTAAATCAGTGGGTACAAAAAATGCAGGCGAAAATTCTCATGTATTTTACCCCAATAGCTAAAAATTCATATTTACATGTATACCACTCAAATTATTAAAATCATATCAAAATATCATTATCACAATCCTTTTCATGTATAATTTTTTGCACTAAGGTGTAATAAGTGTACATATCAAAAATTGGGTGATAGATATGTAAATATATAAAAATTGTGTGGTATAAATGTAAATTTCCTTTTAAAGAAAATTTTTTCCAAAGTATGATAGGCCAACATATTTTATTATTTTAATTATTTTTATTAATAATAAATATTTTAAAATTAATACAATAATTTCAATATTCATCATGAAGCTGGCTTTATATCGTTCTATGATATAAATTTATTATTTTTAATTAAGGTTTGGAGTGAGGGATGATGAAAAAATTTATACCAAATCATAGTTATAAAAAAAATAAAATAATAAACTTTAGCCATCCTTACTTTCTCACTGAGTTCGCTGCTCTTGAGTTTTACATCTATACCACCCAATTCTCATGTATTTTCATATCTCACACTTAAACTTGAAAAAGTTC